CGTATTTTGGTATATAAATGAGCGTGCTTATGAGACACCCAAATAAGGGATGCTCGTAAGCACGCCCAAATATATACTAAAATCCAGTATGCTCATGAGCACAACCATATTGACGTATTTTGGTATATAAATGAGCGTGCTTATGAGACACCCAAATAAGGGATGCTCGTAAGCACGCCCAAATATATACTAAAATCCAGTATGCTCATGAGCACAACCATATTGACGTATTTTGGTATATAAATGAGCGTGCTTATGAGACACCCAAATAAGGGATGCTCGTAAGCACGCCCAAATATATACTAAAATCCAGTATGCTCATGAGCACAACCATATTGACGTATTTTGGTATATAAATGAGCGTGCTTATGAGACACCCAAATAAGGGATGCTCGTAAGCACGCCCAAATATATACTAAAATCCAGTATGCTCATGAGCACAACCATATTGACGTATTTTGGTATATAAATGAGCGTGCTTATGAGACACCCAAATAAGGGATGCTCGTAAGCACGCCCAAATATATACTAAAATCCAGTATGCTCATGAGCACAACCATATTGACGTATTTTGGTATATAAATGAGCGTGCTTATGAGACACCCAAATAAGGGATGCTCGTAAGCACGCCCAAATATATACTAAAATCCAGTATGCTCATGAGCACAACCATATTGACGTATTTTGGTATATAAATGAGCGTGCTTATGAGACACCCAAATAAGGGATGCTCGTAAGCACGCCCAAATATATACTAAAATCCAGTATGCTCATGAGCACAACCATATTGACGTATTTTGGTATATAAATGAGCGTGCTTATGAGACACCCAAATAAGGGATCCTCATAAACACGCCCATATATATACTAAAATCCAGTATGCTCATGAGCACAACCAGTATTGACATATTTTGGTATATAAATGAGCGTGCTTATGAGACACCCAAATAAGGGATCCTCATAAGCACGCCCAAATATATACTAAAATCCAGTGTGCTCATGAGCACAACCAGTATTACCGTATTTTGGTATATAAATGAGCGTGCTCATGAGACACCCAAATAAGGGATCCTCATAAGCACGCTCATATATATTGTAAAATCCAGTATACTCATGTTGAAGTATTATTTGTGAAGACGAATTATGCACACAACTTCGTCTGAGTGGCAGGTAGAGGAACAAGGCTGATAATTTTTCTTGATTAGATACATGATCCATCTGTTTGCTGCATTCGTAGACAAACAGATTATCAGACATTCAGATGTACATGATCAGTGGCCCATACGGAATGTCCGAGTCCACTATCAATCGGGTCATCATTCCATGAAGATTGTTCCTGAGTGGATTTCACATGTCTGAAAATTACCTTTCTCATCTTTTCCCATTTTTCTATAAAATGAAAAAATACAACTTTGAAAAAGTACCAATGAAGTAAGATAAACTAAGGTTTATAAATTAGATGGAAAACAAACCAAATGACACCAGCCATGGATCTGCGCCCACAAGACAGCCTGAAGGTAACTCCTACAGGTAAAATGAAATTCATACATTGTTTCCTGGTTAGCCCACCTACAGGAAACATAGGTAACTGAGAGACAATGTTTCTATAATAATGTTGCCTAGATTGTTCAGGGATTCAGAATTGTGAGAAATGTATTATCAGTGAGTTTGTTACCTGGATGAGCCAGTCTTCCTGAGAAGGTGTTCCACTTAGCCCTGAATAAAGACATTAAATCAGTTCTTATGTGACAACAAGATTTTACATTATACAGAGAGATGTACACATAGATAATGAATGATATAATTTACAAACCCTCTTTCATTAAAGTCCAATTATTGTCTAGTTGTTGCTGTGCTTGCAAGAAATATCGGCCATCTGTCCATAATGCGGCTTTGGTTTTGGTAACAATTGCTGTTCCTATGGTGAGATTAGTGCATGCCAGACACAAATAACAAATTGAATGTGGGGGATCAGTTTAGGTAGTACTGAGAAATCCATCAAACTGCAATGCACCTGACTTTATTATAATAATTTTACTCTGTCTAATGCCAGAAGATTTTACTCATCAAAGAGATAATCAAAGATGCATTATTAAAAATGTTAGATTTTCAGTGAAACTTTGATTGGAAGTTAGTATTGGTTAGGTGAGGTTCAAAGTCATTTGCTCTATTTTAGCATTAGATCAGCTAGTAATGACATCAAGAGCACCAATCTTAGGGGCTACTTTTGGTTGGTAATGGGGAGCTACTGAGGGGGATGCACCCCCCCCCCCCCACACACACACACTTTTTAGACATTTGTAATAAATCCTATAATAAATTATGTCTGTTGGCCAGCACATCATCCTGTATCACTTGGAATGGATTTTCGTACTTGAATGACATACCTGCAGAACCAGAAAATCCAGAGATAAATTCTCTCCTACAGTCGCTTGATGCAATATACTCACTCTGAACAAATAATGAAACAGTGCTATTGAAGCAATACCGTATATAGCCTTGTCTCAGAGAAGATATCCTAGGGGTGACCCACCCAGCCTACGTTCAAGTTAACTAGATGATTTCTAAACCACAGGTGACCCCTACAGAGATGCCTGCAGATGATGCCATTGCGGGATCACATCTGTGCCCAGATTATTAAAATTTGAGGGAGTGCAGTGTAGTTCACATATCTCAATTCCTTTTATTTCTCATCTTTTTACCCTAGGCTTAACATATAACCTCTCCCTGCTTCTGCGGGTCACAATGTACATACTGCAGAGTTATAATGTATAATTTTTGAAGAAAACTCCAAGAATCTATAAATTGCCAAGAAGATACGGAGTGACGGAGTCCATATTTATTACCTGGTGCGCGTCTTCACTTGGAATAATATAAGCTTGTAAAATGTCCGGCACAAAAGCTTTGTTCTTCATCACTGAGCGAAGTTTGGTAAGTAATTCTCCTGTAGGTTTGGCCATGTCTTTTATATTTGTAATAAAAAGAAGTGAATATTGGATAAAAGTACGCAAAAAGAAGATAGAATTAAATTGAAAGTACAGGAAATGGAAAGTGGAAAATTCTCGTGTTTCCACTTAATAAGTTAATGTCGAAATTTAACCACTGAGCTATACTTAATATATCTGGAGATCGTGCTCCAATACCTCGTCAGTCAAAAATGTGTGGCCAAAAACATGGCGGATTTTGGCCAAATTTACGTCATTTTGACGTCACAATCGACCTAAATTTATGGTGAAC